GATATCATGCAATCGTAGTACTGGTCATAGCAGTGGCTACAGGGGAGCAGCAGTATACGTTGGTGGTTTATTTTATATATATGGTAGCAGCTTTCTGCGGTTCCTATTCTTCACGCATGTAAACTCGCCGCCATCCGGAGCGTTTTGGGCTCCGTGAACCGAGTGGACCGGAGGGACTCGACCGTCCGCCTCGCTGGACTCGAGCTGCCCAGACAGAGCGGCCAAATGCCTGGGCGTTTTCCAGAAAGCTGTCTGTATCTGGCAAAAAGCATATGCAAATTAGGCAGGCCCCCTGTTTGAGACCTAAAAGAAAACAGGGTGCTTCTTAAAGACATAATATGTTGTTTGGATATTTGTTGACCTTCAGCGAGCGAGTGAACACACTCACCCCGCTTGACCGGTGTCTCCGAGAATCGAAGCGAACCTGAACGGATCGAAGCGAAGCTTAACCGAGTAGCGGAGGTCCTCGGGAGGTCCTCGGCGGCCCGGTGCCGCGGTTGAAGGGGTCAAAAGGGGTCGAAGCAACAGGGTGGAGCGAGCATCCGCGGCATCTTGTGAGTAGATGAAGCAACGTGAAGAACGAAAGCCCTCTGCCTCCAATCCTCCAACAAATCCCCTCACTTTCTGCCTCTTAATTACTAGTAGGTTCGAGGCCATCGCTCTTGAGCTTTTCACCCAGCCAAGCCGCAAGGCCGTCCGGCCGTACAAGCCCTTCGCCTCCGCAGTGAGGGGCCCAACGCTGCCCTCGAGACCTTCGAGACCGGACTCCTTAGTAGAACCCAAAAGGTCCACGATCACTGAGCTCTTCCCGGTCTTGGCTGCTTCAAAGAGCTGCTCCTGAGGATGGTGCTGATTGGGCGTGCGAAGGGCGGGAGTGCACCCCCACTGGGCCAGTGGAGAGGTTTTTCCACCGGAAGAAACGAGGAGGTCACGGTGGGTGCGGTGGCAAAGTTGGACAGAGTGAACACAGACACTGGAGTTCGTGGACCCCCAGCAACCTAAACAAGAGTACACGCAAACCAAACCCCTGTTCACTCTCTAAGTCTCTGCGGAGCCTGCGATCCGACTGTGCAAGCAAGCCCACTCTTTGATACTCTTTGTGGCATTTTTCTGTTGTGCAAGGTCTGCAAAGCTGCGCCAAGCATCTGTGGCTCGGCGGTAATCCCGCCAGAGCTTGGCCCAGGGCAAGTTCGAAGTCTCCTCCAAGACGTCCTCAGCGAAGCCCCGCGGCACCGGCGAAGTCGCTTGACGCGCGCGAGGTCAAGGGCTTGGCCGTGTGAGGTTTAGACACATTGGCCAACCCTGTTAGAAGGGACGCTTTCATTATATTAATGATGGGTCAGCTACGTCTTCTTCGAGCCCTGTTGGCCCAAGACATCACGAAATCAAAACTGTAGTGCTGAAAGATTGCAGTCTTGGCAACACAAGAGACTTACCCACGCACCACCTGCGCATGCCCAAAGCATCATGGCAGCGCATTTGCAAAAAACACACACACTGTCATTGCCGTGCATCGAAAAAGAACTCCTGTACATCTTGCATCTCACCTGGCAAAGGTCCGAGTCTTCGTTCTCGACGGAAAAGGAACCCCGACTCAACATGCCGACTCCGCCCTTGTCCTCTTGAAAAACATCAACGTTGAGGAAATGGACATCACCTTGTAACCAGCAACAGTTATATTGAAACAAGGGGTAGTGGGGATGTACGTGGAACTGACCTCCGCCTGGCTGGATCTGCAATCATCTGTAATCCTAAGGAATCCCACGAAAAATGGATGAGTGCCATATATCATATATATCTATATTTTCCCCGGATAGAATAGGTGTTAAATCCAAGCACCTCCTTTTGCGCGATCCGTCTTGTTGGTGCCGTTCTCAAATAGGCGAGCTAGGTCCACCCATCCATCCCACCCGAATGGCCACTCCTACTCGCTTTTCTCACTGGATGAGGGCCACTTCGTTAAGGAGTCCACCGGGTGCCTTTTTGGTTGGTTCCTGGCCAAATGTTCTTTATGGCCCGTAGCCGGAGGATTGCCCGCCTGTGTCCAGGTTCTTGACCTTCAAATGATCATCCTCGGCTCCATCCTGGCACCGGTGCGACGTGTCTGGACGGAGGTCCTCCAAGTCCTCCAACAAGGCACGTGGCGCTGCACACGTCGTGGCTGTTTGTCGTCTAGAAAAACGGCGCGAATCGTCTAGAAAAACGGCGCGAAGGTGTTTGGAATGTGTTGGAAAGGTTTTCATGACCCCACGGTCCAAGAAGTTTCTGCGCGGGTGTTTCTCAATCAAAGTCGCGGACCCTAAGGACTGGCTCGCTGTTCCAAGGGCCGCTAGTTGTTGCAAAATCCTAAGGGCTGCCTGACTCTTTGTTTCTGTAGGAATCCAGTGGCCAACCAACATTGCAACAACAATTCTGGCCGAAAGCCTTGGACTTCATCCTTGCGTATTAAAAGTCCTCCACGAGCCAAAAAACAAAACGACTAAAAACAACCGTTCAATTGGCACTGGATGAACCACCTGCCCAAATGATCCACCTGCCCCCGCACCTCCAAGCGTCGCACCGGCCCCCGGGGCGCCGTGTGCGGGGCGCCGTGCCCGCACGTCCGGCTGCTTGCGCCGCCCATGGTTACGCCGGTTCCGCAAGCAGCATGCGCTGGCCACGACACGGCGACTCTCCCCGAAAAGGGTCCCCAGAAGACCTGGGGCCCAGGAAAAACTGAGAGGTGTGGAGGATCTTCACCTAAAACCCCGGAAGACTTGGAGATGGTTGCTTTGGTGCCAGCTCAAAAGGTGTGCTTCTGGTGCTCCCAGAACGTGTTCCATCCATCAGCTGCATAGACCGGCTGTTTCTTCCACGTTTGAATCATAAAATGCAGGGTGGCGTCCGAATCGGACGCCAGGAGTCGGTCACCAAGAAATTGGAATCGGTCACTGGTCGCCAGGAATCGGACGCCAGAACGCCGAATCGGACGCCAACGGGTCGCTGATTCGGAGTTCTCTCCACCAACCCGAAACGGTCACCACGGGAGGCGGAAGCAAGAAACCCGCCCTGAATCAAACTCGCGTAAAGAAGCCAAGCCTAAACTTTTAGGGTTTGCGCCGTATCTGCGCCAACACAGTTGTTTTTCACCAGGGATTGAATCTTTTGAAGTCCGTATTTTGTTGGCTTGCGCGTTCTCAAACCTTACCACTTACCACCACTTTCGTGTATTTTGGTTTTTCCTTTGGAAGGTAATTGTACCCTTTGGCGTAATTGAAGCTTGGGGGCGATCTTTTCGCATACCTTTATTATACCCTTTAGAACAATCATTTTCTCCTGTGGAATGGTTGAAGCTTGGGGCGAACCCCTTCGTGTACTTTTGGTTTGTCCTTTGGAAGGAAAAATTTTTTCAAGTTGGAAGGATTGAAGCTGCGGCGAAGCCAAGCCGTAAACCAAACCCAACAAAAGCCTCAAGAAGCCAACGAAACCCTAAAACAAACCTGACGAAGCCCTAACGAAGTAGAACAACCCCTAAAGGAGTGAAGCCTGAAACCAAGCCTTAAAAAAACCCTCAAAGAAGTCGTCAAGCCCTAAACCAACCTTAAACAAGCCAAAACAAAACCTACACAAGCCAAGCCTTAAACCAAGGCCAAACAACCCTCAAGAAGCCAAGCTCTTAAACCAAACCCAATCAAAACCGACAGAAGCCAAGCCCCAAACCAAGCCCAAGGAAATCCTCCCAAAGAAGTCAAGGCCTCAAAAAGATCCAAAACAAACCCTAAAGGAGTCAAGCCCTAAACAATCCTAAACAAAGCCCAAACAAACCCTAAATAAGCGAAGCCCTAAGCCAAACCTGACGAAACCCTAAAGAAGTCAACCCTAAGCCAGGCACAAACAACCCCCAAAGAAGCCAAGCCCCAAACCCAAAGCCTAAAGAAGCCAAGCCTAAAGCGAAGACCAAACAAACCCCAAAGAGTGCAGCCCTAAACCAAGCCCAAACAAGCCCTCAAGAAGTCGACCCTACGCCAAGCACAAACAAGCCCTAAAGAAGCCAAGCCCTAAACAAAGCCCAAGCAAGCCCTAAAGAAGTGAAGCCCTAAACCCGATTTTGCGAGCCTGCGCAGCCGAAACGCACTTCGAAGATCTTGAGAGGCATGCGCGAATGGCAGCGAATTAGCCGGACACGCCGATGGAACACCTCGATCAAACACCGAGCCTTAACGATTACCGTATAAAAGTGCCTAGTGTCACCGACTGTCCAGCCAATCGCCATCCCCTACAGACGCTAAGCCCTGTTGCCAAAGCCCTGTTGCTAAGCCCTGTTGCTACCTGGTTGCTACTTCGCGAAAACGGGTCGCTGGTACCTGGTCGCTGATTCGGACCCCTGGTCGCTGATTCGGAGTTTTCTCATAAAATGCATGCTGGGGGTTCTGTGGGGGTTTCTTGTCACAAAGAAGGGGTTGCTTTTTCGATAAGTCGTATCCAGCAGCTCCTTCCACTCCCCAATGGACTGTTCCCCTTGAGCAGGAACAGCGGAAGAGCACATCATCTCATAGTGAAAGAGGTGTGAAGCATAAAGGAATTAGAGAATTGGCATGTCACTGGAGATACAAAGGGACTGAATGATGCATTCCAATAGTGTGCAACTTGAACCTCTTCTGGAAGCGCATCTTTCCCGCATGTTGGCTTGTGGGTCAAAACTCAAGTGTTTAAAGACTCAAAAGCATGTACATTTCCAGGTTCGACCTCGTCTGTCTGTCCAAATCACATGGATGTGGCCCAAATAAGACCCCCCATCTTCAATTCTGTTTCTCCTGAAAGCCGGTGAGTTGCACGATGATCTTTCTGAGCGGCCAACGATTTTTTTTTCACCACCCAGCTCAGTGCAATTCATCGAAACAGATCAACCATAACCTATTGCACTTCTATTGAACAACCCCCCTGCAATGAAGGAGCCCCTCTGCCTTTCAGGCCTTGGAGCACGTTTCGCTCACCCCCCAGCGGCATCAAACCCGCGTCGCCTCTGGATCTGGGAGGAGACAAAGGTCGGCCTGGTCTTTGGACCGGATCCAACTCGAGGCGTCGAGCGATGGTTCGGTGTGGATGGGTATAAAAATGATAAAATACACATTTGGTACAAAAAATAGAAGCACACGGTCACATACACCTTGGGTCTCGAGTGAGCCAGTCCATTCCCAAATCACCCAAAGACAATGGCTGTCGCTCATGTGGGAACGGTTGAGATGGCTGTCGAACTCCATAATTAATGGTAAACAAAAAATACAGTAGATAGCCGCAGAAGCCCAAGGACATCCTCTTACATGTCTAGGGAGGGCAATCCTCTACAGTAGCGACTAAGACGGTTCCAAGTGTCACTTGCCACACCACAGAACCCGCAAGTGTTGGAAAGAGCTGCAGAGCTGCAGAAGCGTTGCCCGGGAAAAGTGTGACAAGGGTGCCATTCAACTGTCGTGCTTGTCAACAGACAGGCGTAAGTCGTGCTTAGAAGGCATAGATCCATCGGCTTCCAATACGCCGGCTCGCGTGCCGAGCGTGCAAGCTCCGCACCCTGCCGACCAGTTGGACGAGGCCTTCAACCCGAATAAACCAACCTTGCCAGGGGTGCTTCAAATGCAAGAATTGGGACGGAACTCCAACTGTGAGATGATGGCACGATGTCTTGCATACACCGAAACAAGAAGCCGAAACAACAATCATCAAATGTTCTTGTCAAGATGTCCAAAGAAGTAAAGGACAAAGTTGACTTGAACCGAGATGTTGTTTTGTTGCTCGATCAGCAATTTCAGCCACAATGTTCCGGCACCATGTCTTGGTATGTCGGGATGGCACTTTAAAAAAAAGATCCGCATCGCAGTCTCCAGGTCTCCAAGAGGCATGCCTACACCCACATGCACGTGTGGACATGAAAGTGACAAAAACATATGATATATATAGACATATAATGATATATAAATCATATAAAAAATATTTATAGACATAGACAGATGCCCAAGATCCCAAAGACCTGCCTTCTTACGGACAATGCTCGTCTGCCTACACCGACGGCACGTCCGGGCACCCACCATCCGGGCGCCCCCGGCGGTGAATTGGGCGTGAAGGCCTTGGGCGGCGAACGGGGCGGTGGTTTCTTCGGATCCGAATCTGAAACAGGCTCTGCTGATGATGACATCCGGGAAGACACCCACATGGTTCAGGTATAGGCCTTTGGAAGACAGTTTTTCCTTTACAACCCCGTGGTTTTCAGGTTCCATGTTAATCTTCCAGGGTGTACTTAGTAGGGACCCTGGTGGTACAGCATTGCTAAGCTTTGCCTACTGATCCAAATTGCAGCAAATTGGAGCAACTGTTCACATCCCCCTGGCTGATGTTCATCGGTGTGTGGCCGCTCACCCAGAGAGCTTTTGCTGAGACCCCACTCTCAAACCACGTGGGCCACTTGTACCAAAGATATCAAGACATGAGTGAGTTGATGGTGTTCCTTGCTATCTGTCTGAGATCGCGTCTCTCTGGAAGACCCCAGTTGAACTGGTCACACTGTGGTACTGGCACGAGGGTTCTTAGGCAACTGCTTGAACTGAGCAAAGGCTGCAAGCCACTGGTAGTGGTCCGGTGTTTCGAACCTGCATCATCGATACATAACTCACCATGTCCAGAGCAGAAAGCAGGATCGTTCGCTGAAAACCACCACAAAATAAGCCTCGAACACTGGAACATCTTGGCTGCAGATCCCGGATAGTAGTCCGGCTTTCGGACACCCCAGGATGGTCCTGGTAGATCAGAAAACAACTCCTAGATGCTATTCTACTTCAGGATGAGCCACCTGAGCCATCTCCCCCGCATTCGCCCCAAAGCGCGCCTGAGGGCTAGCCCCACCTGAGCGGCGGTCAAGCGTTTTGAGACACGACCCAGATCATCCCAAAGAGTGGATGACTTGGGGAATTGATGGTGATTGCAATCATGGACTCGGAGATCCCTTCGATTTCCCAAAGACACCTTCATGGTGAGCTTTAGAATATTCCCACCGAAATCGTCAACCTCCTTCTCCAGGACTTCTTGGACATGAACGCCTCAGCCATCGAATCGATGCCTACAGCGGGTGCGCTGCACGCAGCCTGCCGCTACAACGGGCGACGCCGAATGAGCCGACGCCGACGCCTGGTGGCCTGGTGTGCTTTCTGGGTGACCGAGTGATGTTGGATCGACGACGTTTTGTGGGACCAGCGTGGACTCTGCTCTGAGGCCCACGACAACTCTCATTTTGGCCCGAAACGCGGAGCAATCGGGGGAGGTGGAGCCTCAAGCTGGCCATCGGTGAGGACAAACCCAGCCATCCAGAAACCAGCTCATTTCGCATTCGTCACAGCAACATTCCTTTGCTCGAATCCTTTTGCAGCCCAGAAATGCGAGCCTCTCAAACTGGGTCTGCAAAATCGATAGCGTCACCACCAAAGAAACGCACTTCCCAAAGGCAAGATCCCCAATCTGGGTCACAGAGTCCGGGATGGTCAAGCTCTCCAAAGAGCTGCAACCCTCAAAGGCAAAACTCCCAATGTAGGTCACTGAGTCCGGGATGGTCAAACTCACCAAAGAGCTGCAACCCTCAAAAGCACTCTCCCCAATGTTGATCACAGAGTCTGGGATGGTCAAGCTCGCCAAAGAGCTGCAACCCTCAAAAGCATTCTCCCCAATGTCGGTCACAGATTTTGAAATGGTCAAGCTCGCCAAAGAGCTGCAACCCTCAAAAGCACTCTCCCCAAGGTCGGTCACAGAGTCCGGGATGGTCAAGCTCACCAAAGAACTGCACTTCC